CATAAAATGTGTCAAGTGTGTACTCAAGGACCGTGCTCAGTACTGGATGGTGGGGCAGAGATCGACATGATACCTTCCCTCCATATCAAAGATTAATTTAATATTAAATGAGACAGATATTAAATGAATAAACATACAAATCAGTATGTAATTGCAACTTCTGATCATGGCTGTGAGGAGATGAGCCAAGGAGACTCATAGAAGGGAGTGACTTCAGATGGGAGAGAAGGGAAGTAAAGAAGTCTTCTTGGAGAAAGGGATGTAAAGGAAGATCAGTTTGCTGGGCAAATTGGAGTGGAAGAGTGTTCCAGGCAGAAAAAAGAGCAAGTGGAGAAGAGGCGCTGATGTGGGAAAGAGCTTGGCTTTTGTTAGGAAGTGACAGGTGGCTCCGGGGCCAGACCAGGCTGGAGAGGTGGGTAAGGGAAGATTGTCTGAGCCCTCAAACCCATGCAAAGAAGTTTGCATATTATTGTAAGGGCCAACGAATGTCATAAAAGGGGTTAAGCAAGGTATGTTTGAAAGAATAAAACAGGTCTCCAGGAGCTCTCTGGCTTACAGCAATGATATTAACGAAATGAAGTATTAAAAGAATGAGTAAAGAGCTGGATGCAGTAGCTCACGCCTGTAATCCCAGCACTTTGGGAGGCCGAAGCAGGAGGATCACGAGGTCAGGAGTTCAAGACCACCTTGGCCCACGTAGCGAAACCCCGTCTCTACTAAAAATACAAAAGTTAGCTGGGCTTGGTGGCGCGCACCTGTGATCAGCTAATTTAGGAGGCTGAGGCAGGAGAATCACTTGAACCTGGGAGGCAGAGGTTGCAGTGAGCCAACACTGTGCCACTGCACTCCAGCCTGGGTGACAGAGTGAAACACCATCTCTAAATAAATAAATAAATAAATAATGAGTAAAGAAAGCTTTTATCTGTGTGTCCTAAAGGCCCTTCTAGAATGTTCTTTGTACTTTTCCTTAGGCTGAGCTCGGCCTGGATTCCTCTCCCCAGGCTGTCTGCCCAGTACAACACTCTGGCTAACTTCTTTGCCAGCATCACCTCCTCCAGGATGCCTTCCTTAATAATGCAGTCCACCACGCTGCCCTATATCAAAGCCCTGAGCACGCCATGTATGCTGTTCCCAGCACCCGTGACTATTTGCATGTAAATGTCCACCGTCCCTTTCTTCAGACTACCCTGGAGTGGGGCAAAAGTAGGGGCTGGAGGGAGGGAAAGTTGCAGAATCTTCAGCGGCAAACTGGCTCCCTGCCCTCCTCAGTCTGGGATTGGAGCTAGACACTGCCACCTGCTGGCAGCAAGTGGAATGGCTGACAAGATGGGATTGGGAGGAAGGAGACTCCTGGAAACAGTCCAGGTCCACTTTGGCTTTTCTGAAGGCATAATGGCATAAAGTCTAGCTGGACGGAGTGCTTGTCTTACGGGCCTGATGGTTCTGAGTGACAGCTGGGCTGGAACAGGAAAGAGGAACTGAACGTTGATGGAACAGCAGCTCAGGACACATGGTGCAGCCCTGTGGGATTGCTGAGACCTCAGTTCAGACCCTGGGCTCAAGCCAGACCAGTGGAGGGGCCCACCTTGTTACCATGGGGATCAGGGCTGTGTCCATACAGATGGGGAGATGACCCTCCACCCGTGTGAAGACCTCCAGGGAGGAGGGAGCAGCCTCAAAGCCAAGTGTCCACCCACGTCCCCTTTTTCTGGAACAACTTGTTTTGCTCTAAAGCTTGGGACTTTGACCCAGGAGGTATGTTTTCCTCCTGTTGGTCACCTGATGTCCTTCCTGCTCATCCCCCTCCCCCGCCACTCCCAAAGCACAGCCCGAGCATCCTTTTCTTTCCCCAGGCTTTTCAGGGAAGGGGTGTACTGGGGTGAGGAAGGCAGAACCTGGGACTTGAGGGCTGATGGCACTGGCTGGGGGGGTGGCAAGGCTGTGACCCCCCACCCTCCTTTTCTTAAATCTCTCCTCATTTGGCTCCTGGGACACCCCACTTTTCTGGGATTTCTTCCTCCTGCTTCCTCTTGCCCTTCTTCTTTAAAAGACCTTTATGTGTTGGGGCTGTGTCCCCTCCTTTCTCTGCTCTCCTCTCGAAACCCCTATCCCCGCCACACACACTGGGGAGACCATGAGATCCCTGGCCTCAGTTACCAGCCCCTGTGCCATAGACGGCTCCCAGATTCTCCACCCCAGACCCAGGGATTCTGCAGCCTTCCAGATGTGTCCCTCTGGAAAGTCCACAGGCATTGCAAGCATGATACCTCGAAACCTATAGCTCATTAATCCTCCCACCCCAAAACTTGTTCTGGCCCCTTCTGAGGTACCAGCATCTACCCAGCTGCCTACACCAGAAACTTGGGAGCCACCTGCACCCCTGCCTCCTGCCTGCACCCACTCCCAGCTAGGCACTGTGTTCCAGCAGCCACACCCTGGTTTCTCTGCCACCTCAACGGGGCTCAGATCTGTTCCCATGGCCACTCCCTGCCCAGGCCCAGGCACTGGTGTTGTGGCCACTGTATCAGATCCCCCACTCCTCGTCTCTAGGAACTGAATGTTGATGGAACAGTTGCTCAGGACACATAGTGCAGCCCTCTGGGGCTGCTGTTACCTCAGTCCAGACCCTGGGCCCAAGCCAGACTAGCAGGGGAGCCCACCTTGTTACCATGGGGATCAGTGCTGTGTCCATACAGCTGGGGAGCTGGGGAGCCATCAATGTTCAATCCCTCCTTCCTGTTCCCAGTTCCACTTCCCTGGAGATGGGGAGCTCCACACTGCATGGAGAAGTGTTTTCTCAAATGCAAAACTGATTATGTGACTCCTCTCCTTAAAATTCTTGGAGAAGGCACTAGTAGATGTTTGTTAAATTCAGCCCCATTCCTTACATTCCAAACAGTGATTCTCTGGCTGTTCATTAACATGCACGGTGCTTACTCCGGTCTGTGCTAGAAGATTCTGAGGGCACCAAGTTGGGGCAGGGAGGGAGGACAGGATATACAGGTATGGGAGGCGTCACTCAAGCAGAGTTCCCCTAGATCACCTTGAGGCACCATCTTTGAATGGCAATGCGCTTGACTGCACATGCATGTGAACACACCCACACCCACACACATGCGCACACACACACCCATACACATACACATATACACACATACACACCCATACACACACACACCCATACACACACACACCCATACACACACATACACATACACACTCCCATACACATACACACACATACACACACCCACACACACCCCCACACACATGCACACACACACCCATACACACACATACACATACACACCCCCATACACATACACACACATACACACACCCACACAGACCCACACACACATGCACATACACACACATACACATATACACACATACCCATACACACACCCATACACACACACATACACACCCCCATACACATACACACACACACCCATACACACACATACACATACACTCACACACACCCATATGCACACATGTACATACACACATACACACACACACACCCATACACACATAACCATACACACCCCATACACATACACACACCCACATACACCCATACACAAACACATACACATACACACCCACACCCATACACATGCACATACACACACATACACACACACATACACACCCATACACATACACACACACCCATACACACACATACACATACACACCCCCATACACATACACACCCATACACACACCCACACACACCCATACACACACACATCCACATCCACATACCCACACCCACACATACATTCACATACACACATACATACACATACACATATACACACATACCCATACACACAACCATACACATACACCCACACCCACACACACACACGCACCCATACACATACACACACATACGCATACACACACTCACACATGCACACACATGCACACACATACACACACCCCCACACACACAGGAAGCAGGCCTGAGGCATGATGTCCAAGTGCTCCCGCTGGCAGAATTGGCCTGCCATAGGAAGGGCTGCCCAGGAGGCCTGATGAATAGGGGTTGGTTGGCTTCAGGGCAGAGAGGCTGTGGAGGGGCCTTCTGCTCAGGCGCTGGCTCCTGGGGACCTTCCATCTCTGATGAGACTTTGTTCTAGTTGGCCTGCTCCTTTCTAGGGAGGCAGCATCTCAGCTTCCCATACTGCTGGGTTGGGGGTGAGGCAAGGAGACCAGCATGACCCTTGGTTGGGGGCCTACACAGGAACTCTGGCCATTCTCAGTACCCGAGCTGGAGGCCAGGTGCACACCATGTGATCCTGGGGAGACTTTGGCTCTTTGGAGGGCTCTGGCTCCAGAGTCCCCCTGTCCAGGGGCTGGGGGTGCCTTCCTCAATGCTGCTTTTGGCTATGAAGGTGGGCGGGCCCAGGGCTTCCGGGTCCCAGATGGGGCGCCACCTGTAGTGTCCGTCCTTTTCCCCCCACCACAGGCTGTGTTTGCCTGTTCTCTCCTCTACCGTAGGTGGAGATGGATCTGAAGTTGGGTGTCGAAGCCTTTGACCAAGCTGGGATCTTGTTTTAAAGCCCTGCCTAGTTTCCAGAGACCACATCTGGGGCCAAGAGGAAGAGCTGAACTGGGCCTAGGTCAGCTGGGCTGGGTCGGGGCTTGAGCATGGGATATGAAAGCTGGGAACTGGGACCTTCAGGCCCTCCATTGAGATCTCTGCAGGAGGGGGTGAATTTAGGAAGCTACTGAGCTGGGTTGGGGGTGGAAGGCACTGAAGCTGTGGTGTGTCCCAGCATTAGAGTCCCAGGGTTTGTCTTGGTGGGGCAGGGGCAGGTCAGGGGAAGAACAGGAAATAGGCCAGGCTCTGCAGGGAGTCTGGCAGCTTTGAGCCTTCTCTGGACTTCTGTGGGTTTCCCCGGGCTCCGGAGCCAGCCAGCACATTTCTTAATCCCACTGTCAGCCTTCCAAGAAGCCCTGCCCACTGGGCTCCGTCAAGGCAGGAGTGGCTGTGTGGCACCCCTTTCCCTAGAGCCTGGCTCCGCTGCCAGGAAAAGGGAGCTCAGGGCGTGGAGATGAGGCTGGGACTCTCCCATATCTGCTTGGTCCTAATACCCATCTCCTTCGCTGGCCCTGGGAAGATGACCTCGAATGCTAGTGCAAGTGGGCTGGGCACCGGCCAGGGGAGGCCCGGCTTGGCAGCTCATTACCATGGGAGGGAGGGCAGGTTCTTTCTGCCACCTGTCTTCATTTCTCCTCCCGCCCTCGCCTTCCTCCTTCCTAGCTCCTCCCCTCCAGGACAAGACTGAGCCCAGGTTGATTTCGGGCGGACACCAACAGACCCCACAGCAGCTCCAGCAGTCCAGACACCGAAGGCCAGAAGCAAGGCTAGGAGCTGCCGCAGCCATGTCGGCCCTCAGCCTGCTCATTCTGGGCCTGCTCACGGCAGTGCCACCTGCCAGCTGTCAGCAAGGTAGCGCAGGAGGAGAGGGCTGGGCACGGGAGACCCAGGGGTGGATGGGGCGGTGTTCCGGCCTCTCTCCCCAGGACTTGATACTTACAGTTTGGAGGGGGATCAGGGACTGGGCTAGCTGAAAGATCGTCCCAAGGCAGAGACGTCTGAACCAAGTCTCTGCCTGCCACTTGTTTTCAACGAGTGGGAGCGGCAGGGAAATGTTGGTTCTAGGATCTGGGGGAGGAGCAGGAGTTGAGGCCCAAGCCCCAAGAGTAGGCATTGCCCTGGGGATGGCTGGGCCCTGAGTACAGGGCGGCCAGGGATACAAGGAGGGGGAGAGTGGGGCCCAAGCACCCCTCAAGACAGGCTTGCTCCAGGGGAGGAGCAGCTCTGCCAGGGCTTTGTCCATGGCTTTGACCCAAGTCCTAATTGTCTTGGCTTTTTGGACTTGGGTAGGGAACAGTGCCCAGTGTGACTGCCCCAAATATCTGAGCTCTTCATCCTGCTCTGCCTGAATTGATGTGTGACCTTGAGCAAATCACTGCCCCTTTCTGAGACTCAGCTTTCTCACCCATAAAATGAAAACAATAGGCCCCACCTGCCCACCTCCTGGGGCTGCTGCCAGATCAGGGCTGTGGGGGGGCTTTGCACCTGGTGAAGCAGCACACGCAAGCTGTGGCTTTCACTCTACACGCTCTGCGTCTGCAGCCAAAGTCTGGGGACTCTGCAGGTGGGACTTGGTCCAGAGGGGACTGGCAAAGATGCTTCCAGAGCTCCCCTCCCACCCCACCTTGAGCTCTCATGTGTGTCTGCTTCAACTCTGTCTCCCAGGTCTTGGAAGCCCTCTGGGGAACTGCAGACCAGAGAGGTTGAGTACCTCACATGAGTTATACAGCAGGGGAGGGAAGGACAGGGCTCAGACCACCTTTCTCCTGCCCCAGGCGCTGCCCCTTGCTGTATGTGCTAACCCCACATGGAGGAGGCGCAGGGACTGTGGTCCCTGGGATGACTGGAGGAAATTAGCTGCAGGGTCTAGGAGGAAGCAGGGAGAGGCCTCTAAGGGTGGAGCCCTAACTCCCCAAGCTTGAGCAACCACCGACCTGAGGAAGCAGTCTGAATCCCCAGGGAGCCAGGGACTCCCAAACACTGCTGTTTGGCAGGCGTGGAACTGAGGGTAACCACACTGTGTGTCTTCTGCTTCCCCTGGAGATTAGTGAGGTCTGACCTTGCTATGGGCCAGAGAGTTCCAGGGCCTCCTTCCTTCTTCCCAGTTTCTGCCAGGCTCAGAGAAAAGGTCAGGTCTCCACTGCAGCAGGAGAGCTTTTGGTAGACTCAAAGGAGGATTTTTGAGTGGGAGTGAGCCAGAGTAAGTTTTCTGATGCCCAGCCTGGGTCCCTTAAAATATAGGGATGCAGGTATTCTGGCCTGGACGTGGGGCCCCTCTGAAGGCTCCTGCTGACCTGTGTTTTGTGCTGGGACCTCTCCCCAACGAGGGTCTTTTCTCTGCAGGGCTGAGCTCCCTCAGGCTCACGGAGTGCAGTGATGTCAGGGAAGAGGAATGTCCTTTGGGGCAGCAGTGGCCTGAGGGCAGGGACTTCAGGGAAATCTTGGGGGTCTGTGTTGGTGTCAAGGGTCAAAAAGCAGAGAAGGGCCCGGGTGCAGCGGCTCATGCCTGTAATCCCAGCACTTTGGGAGGCTGAGGCAGAAGGACTGCCTGAGCCGAGAAGTGTGAGACCAGCCTGGGCAACATAGTAAGACCCTGTCTCTATTAAAAAATAAAAAAAAGCAGAGAAGGGTGCATGGTTGGGCCTTGACCTAATCTCTGGCCCTAGTCCCTGGGCACCCAGCTGGGGGAACAAAAAGGGGTTCAGGTTTTGAGGCTTCTTCCCTGGCCCCCAAGACTCAGAGAAGAGCTTACCCCTCGGTCCTGCCCCTCTAAAGATGTCCTGGTCCACTCCTCTCTCTGGGTACCCCAGGCACCCCAGATGCCCCAGCCGAGTAGCCTGCTGTCTCCACTCACACACCCTTCCTACCATCAGAGAAACCTCTTGCTACAGAACAGGATCTTCCGGACGTCAGACCAGTCATGTCAGTTCTGGGTCCTCCTCAGCTCTCTGGGAGCCACGCCCAGCTGCAAGGCCTAGGCCAGCTGTCCAGGGGGCTGCCCTTTGGTCCCTGGGGCCCAGGCACTCCCTGGGGTGTTGAGGAACATTAAGTTTACCTGCCCCCATGGCTCCCTTGTGGAAGATACTTTTAGTTTATAATTAGTTGTAGGCGGGTAACAGCTGCCTACTTGGTATATTCTTGAGTTATATGTATATGTAGAATACCTGTGTATTAATGAGAATCACCTGTCAAAGAGTAAATAAATACGTGGATGGAAATCTGCTCAGGGCCTTCACTCTGGAGAGCTGTCAGCTCCGCAGGCTCTCAGGCTGTTGGTCCGCAGATAGATAGATCCACTCTGTTGTGCTATCTGGGAGTCTCTCTATGAGCTGGTTTCTCGAGGGGCCCTGCATGTGACCTGCCTGGGGGAGGGGAAGAGGTTCTGGGCCTCCTAGATCTCAGATACGAGGCCTGTTCCCTCCTGGGCTCCTCTCTCCTTCCAACTCCCTCCTCTCCGAGCCTCTGCAATTCCTTCAACTCCCTCCTTTTCCTAACCTAAGTGGAGCTCAAGATGTTTAAGTGGGTCAGAGGGACCGCATCCCACCCCCGCCTCCCCAGAATGTCTCCTTGGTCCTGGCAGCTGGCTGAGGGCCTTCAGCACAGGTGGGGCCCTTGGGAAGTGAGTCCCCTCGCTCTCCTGCACAGGTGGCCCCCACCGTGGCCCCACTGCGGCCCCATCTGCTACAGTCCGCCTCCCGTTTTAGGCCTGGGGAAGCTTCAGCCCTGGATGCAGGGCCTCATCGCAGTGGCCGTGTTCCTGGTCCTCGTTGCAATCGCCTTTGCAATCAACCACTTCTGGTGCCAGGAAGAGCCGTGAGTGCTGCCCGAGGGTCCCTGAGCAGGCGGGGTGGGCCCAGGACCACCTCGCTTGCTCTAGTAGTGGTGAGAAAGGGCCTCAGAAACCCTGTGTCCAATCCTCCCCCGTGTGGAAGGGAAACTGAGGCTCAAGGTCACAGGGTAGGTTGGTGACGGTCAGAATGAGAGCCTCAGCTTGCTGGCTTCCAGACCTGGGCTCTGTGGGTACCCCCCCCACCGGCTCTGGCGCCCACTCCCTGTGAGCTTTGGGGAAACGGCTTCTCTTCTTGGAGTCTTGGTGTTTCTGTAGAGCCAGGATAGCAGCCCAGCCTGTGATGGGCACTGTGAGAACCTCTGGAAGGGGCGGTTCCTCCTTCTGCAGGGTCAGCTGCTGTGCAGGGGGGCTGTGGGACAGACATGCCTCCTGCCCTCACAGGCTCACAGACTGGAGTGACCTGTCAGAGTTCAAGAGTTGCCGCTGAGGGTGAGCGCAGAGGACACTGCAGGGCTGACCTGGGTGAGGTGGCCAGAGAAGGCTTCCCCACTGCACATTTATCCTGAAGCCTGAAGAAAGAGGAGGAGTCGCTACCAGGATAGAGCAGCGTGGCAAGCGCGCTGCGGTGGAGGGAAGGGTACACCCAGGTCCTGAGTTAGGGGCAGGGCACCAGGGCTGCTGCATACAGATGCACACAGGTGAAGAGCAGGTGGGCTGAAATCCAGCCCACTCTGCACTCACCAGGCCAGGACCCTCAGGCAAGGCTGCCTCTGTCCCCAGGGACATTTTTCTCCAGCTCTCACAAAGGTGGCCTGGTGGCTTGGGTGCTAGCTCCATGCAGGGCTGCGGAGGAAACCCCAGTGGCTCAGTGAGTGGAGAAGGGGATGGAGACACCCGTGATGAGGCTGGTGGGGGGCAGACCCAGGCCAACCAGGATCTTGCAGACCAATGACCTGCGCTTTGGGCTTTTGGGCTTTACCTTAGTGAGTAGGAATCCAGTCACAATTTTTTTTTTTTTTTAAAGACAGAGTCTCACTCTGGTGCCCAGGCTGGAGTGTAGTGGTACAATCTAGGCTCACTGCAACCTCTGCCTCCCAGGTTCAAGTGATTCTCCTGCCTCAGCCTCCTGAGTAGCTGGGATTACAGGTGCCTGCCACCAGGCTAATTTTTGTATTTTTAATGGAGACAGGGTTTCACCATGTTGGTCAGGCTGGTCTCAAACTCCTGACCTTATGATCCACCTATCTCCCAAAGTGCTGGGATTATAGGCATGAGCCACTGTGTCCTGCCTCTGGTGAGCAGTTTTTAAGCCAGTTTCAGGATGAGATACGGCCTTAGCAGAGTGACCCTGGCTGCCTCATGGCGGATGCACGGCAGCGGTGGGGGAGTCTCCAGTCTGCAGACCTAGAGAGCGGTGAGGAGCAAGTGTGAGGTCAGGAGGGGGTCTGGACTGTAGAGGTAGCAGAGAGGATGGAGAGAAGAGATGGGTCTGAGCACTGTTTAGGAGGTGGGCACCCTGGGAGTTGGTGGTCAGAGACAGCAGCAGGCACCAGGGGAGGAAGGCAGGGATGGCGGCTAGGTTTCTCACTGGGGATCACCCACTGGGCCCAGAACGCAGGAGGACAAGCAGATGTAGGGGCAGCTGCTGAGCCTAACTGGGGACATATTACGTCTGGGGTGCCTGTGGGATGTCTAAGGAAGTGAGCGGGTGTCGGGGTCCCTGTGACACTCATGGGAGCAGCTTCTGGGAGGCTTCAGGGAGAGCCCACACTGTTGGGGTTTAAACTTGAGTAAGAGGCGAGGGGCTTTTTGTTGGAAGGTCTTCAGCTGGGCTTTCTCCACCTGACCCAGCTCTGCCTGAAGTGCCACCAACCACATCTGTGTCCACTGCCCAAGGCATGACCTGGGGAAATTTGGGGCAGATAGTGTATCCTGTAGAGCCTGATGGAGGCTGAGCTGAGGGCAGCTGGGACACAGAGAGGTCTTGGGCTCAGGATAAGTCTTTTGCAAATATTTGGCCCCCCACCATGGAGTGGGGAGAAAGTGTGAGGCCCCACGGGTTGGACCAGAAGCAGTGGCTGACAGGCCCTGCTGGACACAGCTGCTCTTTGGGCTTGTGAGAACCAGGACCCAGAATAGCATCTACTCGGAAGAGGGGGGCCCCCCTGAGGAGCACCAATGATGAGCTCCATCCCCAGGGAGCCTGCACACATGGTCCTGACGGTGGGAAACAAGGCAGATGGAGTCCTGGTGGGAACAGATGGAAGGTACTCCTCGATGGCGGCCAACTTCAGGTGAGGTGCGGTGCAGGGCTGCCTGCCCTGTGCTCCCAGGGCCTAAGAGAACCTCAAGACGGGTGCTGTGGGGAGAGGTGGTGGGGAAGGATGGGGACTCACATGGGCAAAAGCTAGTGAGACAATGGGGCTTTGTGAGGATTGCAGGGCTCTGTGGGGGAAATGCAGCCTCTGTGTGGGGCAGGGGCTCCAGGAGGGGATGGACACTTGGGAAGGTAAGATTCAGTGTAGGAGTGGGAACTCACAGGGCAGTGGGTACCATGGGGACACACAGTTCAATGGAGGAAGGGACAAATGAGTG